AGGCGGGGGGGTGGGATCTGCCCCTCCCCCGGGAGACGATCGATGTACGGCGCGGTCGCTCCCCAGCCCCCGACTCACAATTCCTTGATGAGCACCATCTTCCCGCACACAGAGCCACACTGCGCATGCGCGACCGGCACCGCTTACCCAGACTTCACCGCGCTGTTTCCGGGATCGGAACCCCGCCCCTACGCGGCAGCGCGCCCAATCACCGAAGCGCCAGGCCGCTCGTGCCAGCCTCCGCCCAAGCTAGCCAATGATCGATGCCAGCAGCATCGCAGGTTACCGGCCCTAATCGAGTCCAATTAGGAACCCCGAGCTCCTTCATCGACCAATCCCTGAGGCACCGCTCCTCCGAGAGACTCGCCTCGTTGTCATCAGCCAATCACCGCGGCCAGGACCCTCCCTGTCTCCTACGGCCCCGCCCTCGAGAGCCTCGATGTCGCCCATGGGCCACACCCGTTCCAGTGGGGCGCCGCCGCCTGCTAGGGCCGCCTGGGTGTCTCTGCCGGCAGGGGACCCAGGCGTCCCCGGTACCGCCTCTGTAGAGCCCCCGGCCTGGGCCGAGCCCCACCCTAGAGAGCCCCCTCCCCCCCCTCGGGAACACCCCTTATAGAGCCCCCCCCGCGACACCCCCTAGAGAGTCCCCTCCCCCTCTCGGGAACACCCCTTATAGAGCCCCTCCCCCTCTCGGGAACACCCCTTATAGAGCCCCCTCCGCGCCACCCCCTATAGAGCCCCCTCCCCCACCTCGGTAACACCCCTAGAAAGCCCCCCGCGCCACACCCTATAGAGTCCCCCTCCCCAACTTGGGTAGCATCCCTTATAGAACCCAGCCCAAACACACACATCACACCCTGGAGAGACCCTCAATCTGGTGTCTCACAATTTAGGGCCCCACCTCAGTGCTGTCCTCTATAGGTAGGCTTGGAAGGCAGAGATTTTAATCAGTAAATGTTGATTTCTCCACACACACACACACACACACACACACACTGATAGTAAAAATTTTTTCC